GTGGAGTATATCTATTCTCTTGGGGCAATTTGTGCACCACTTTGCCACTAATCCACACTATAAACTTAGAAAGCAAACACAAAAGACTGCACACCAGTGCTATTTCAGTTCCCAGCGGTGTGTCCAGTCTGTTTCTAAATAGAAATACTTTCATTAGCCATGCAATCCTCTGTTTAATTGCTTACACGATTTTTTTTTTAAGAAAGGAGCCTCAAACCAGGATGGGAAGGGTATAACTAGGCAGCAAAGAAATGTGATTCCAGGCAGAACATTATATTTGGTTCCTATTTCTGCAGCCCAAAATAACAACTCTCCAAAGAGCACCAAATTCCAGAGCCAGAAATGAGCTCCATAGCTCAAGACATGATGTGATCTCTAGGAGGAGAGCAAAGAACTCTAAAAGACAGAAATGTCTGAGATAAGAATGTAAAAATCTGAGGCTGGGTACATGCCCATAATCTCTCATGTGTAAACAAACAGTTAAATTTATGTCAGGGAGCAGCATGTTTAGTTTTCTGAAGAAGACATGTTTCCCAGAAGGAATTATACAAATATTTATGATAATGAAGCAGGAAATATTTTCCCAGGGTAGGACACTGTTCAGCTCTGCATCAGGTCAGTAGAAGCTGAGGTTTATTTTGTCAGTCTTCCCCTGGAACTGAATCATTGCCCTCTTGTTTGCAAAAATCTGTTCTGACACAGGAAGAGGCTGCGCTTAGATAAACACAATTACAAGCCACATTGAGTATTTCATTTCTATCACATCTCTGACTACATATGTGAATGCCCTACATTTTTGGATAGCTTCTCTGAGTGATTGCATGGAAAACAATAGCAATAAGTATCTCTTAGGCCTCTCTGAAGGCCTGGTGCCATTATGTGCCAAAGGTAGAACTGAAAGCCTGCAGGCTAACAGACAGAGAAACATTCTCAATCCAAGTGTTCACAATGAAAGTGCTTATAAAACACTCAGTGTGACCCAGGACATTCTTGCTAAATGCAAAAGTTAGAAACAGAAAGTTGTAATGCAGTTATAGTGCTCACCTGAGTGAGCAGAAGTTACACACAGTTGAGGTTTGTTTACCAGATGGGGTCCAGGGGTCAGTACTGCTCCTCATAAAGCATCCAGCAGCTCCCTGGGTCTGCAGCCCCAGCTCCTTGTGAGAGCTCAGTGCTCTTCTGTTCTCCTGCCTCACAGCAGATACCTACAGCTGGAACCTGGGTCAGCTTTTCTGTTTAGAGCTAAAAGCTGAGGGGAATAGGAGTGGGAAAGGGGAGGTAGGAGCATCCCAAGAAGAGCTTGTAAGCTCTAGTGCAGACCTGAGGTTCTCCGAGAGTGCCATCCCTGTGTCAGACCAGAAAAAGCTCCCACCCATCCCTCAAGGTACCCAACTCAACAGAGAGCCAAACTCATCAGCAGGAAACCAAGGAGATCAAGAGATAGTTGATAGTGGAGCATAAATTTCCACACAGCTGATGAAGCCTCTCAAACATCCAACAAGATGTTGGATGATGATCTATAATCATTCGAGTCCCACAAGCTGCCTTTACTAAATATATAAGTCATAAGATTTTGGACAATTTTGTCCTTAGGTTGGTTTTGTCAGTTGTATTTTCAGGCATATCAGAATCTGGTCATTGTTTATATCTTAATCAGAACAAAAACAAGTTGTGGGCACTGTGTTTACAGGCTCAAGCAGCCATTGCATGGTGTCAAATTCAAAACCAGAACTTTACAAAATAGCCCTAGGATTACTTTCTTCCCTACATATTGCAAACCACAATACTCTGCCCTTCCTTTTCCATTTTCTCTAAGCTTTGCCACCTTGATTGATGTATCCAGCATGACAGAATGAAACACCCCAAATCATCATGACCCCTGATACAAGAGAAACGATAGAAATATACCACCTTTTTTTTTCCTCCAGGTGCTCCCAAGTTTATTCAGTACAGTAAGGTACAGAAGGAGAATGTTCTCCTTGATGCTGAATTTGGGTCAGAAAGGATGCTGGTGGACTCTCAACACTTATGGCTGAATCAGCCCATGGTTACAAGCAGGGTGTATCAACCTGCAGTCCAGCCACAGGATCTGTGACTATACAAATGATGAAAATTGGCTGTAGGTCTGGCCACCTTTTGATGAACAGTATTTCAGCATGTTGTCTGTGCTCCTTACAGTCTGTTTACATTAAACTACTAACATCTGAAGAGTAAGCAAATGAAGGGTGTTCAAATCTCCAAGGAAGTTACTTGGACTCCAAATAGACAATGCACAAGACAAAGGTTACCTGACTAGTGCTCATCTAAAAGAACAGAATCTTTCTGGATATTTTTTGTGCCTTTTCAGGGTTTTCTTGCAAAACATTCATGCCCTTGGAAGCATTTGTTTTGTGACTTTTATGTCTGGATGATGTGGCCTAGTTAGTTTTTCTTCCTTGCCTACAGTCATTTCTTTAAGCCTGATTCAATGAGAATTAACATGCACAATAGGCACTCTGCTTCATTAAATCTCCATCAGCAATGAAGCTGCTTGAAAATTTTTCAGTGAAACTGGTTTGATAAATATTGATTTGCCAAAACCCAAGCTTTTTGTGGTAGTACATCAGTTTTGATGGACTGCCTGTTAAGGCAAGTTTTCTAGCTCCAGGATGGCATTCCTGGTCCAACACATGGGAAGACATAACTGATTAGCACACACCCTTGTAATAAAGCAATATAACCTTAAGGCTCTACTGCAAGCCTTCTCTGCAATTATTTCTCTGCCTGGTTTGAACTAGGCAGAGAAATAATTAAAATCTGGATCTCCTACATTTTGAGTAAGTGTTTTCATTTTCCAAGTTTTCGAATCCATTAAATCTAATTTCTCACAGTATTTTCAGGGGGCTTGTGACTGTCAGGGAAGGTGGAGTGGCGGTGGGAGGTGGGGGTTGGGGAAGAGTAGAGTCTTGATTTATTTTCTAAAGTGGACTGAAAACATTTGTAAATGATCACACCACTGTCAGAAAAAATTTCCCTGCTTAGTCCCAGATAGTAACTGAAGTAGTTAAACAAATGATTTCCTCTCTCATTTAGACTTTACTCCTCTTTATCCCTGATAAATAACAAACAAGTCACTGTAAGTCTCTCAGTACCATGGAACAGATAGCATCATTCATGTCAGTTTGGCAACATTTCCCAAATGCCTCCTCCAGCCCTAAGTACACTAGCTTCCCACTCCTACGCGCTCTATTCTTGCTCTTACGTTGACCTTCTGCTCACAAAATGGAAAGTGAAGAGAAGAAAAAGTTAAATAAAACAGATTAACAGTGTACAAGGCAGAGGCACAGTGCCTGATGCAAATCACAGAGGAACAAGTTTATTTCTGGTATGACTCTCCTCAACTATAACCCTGGCTTTGTGTTTCCTCCCCCTCTAGCTGTGTGTACCCGTTATCAAGGCCACGTTTGAGGGGGGTACATTAGATGACATTCTTTAGCACAGAGACCTCTATTTATTTCTGAAGAGCACTGTACACAGTTTAACAAGGAAAAAAAAAAGTGTTTTAGTGTTTTGGAAAGGGGGACAGTCTGTGAGCAGGCTAGAAAGAAAAAGGGAGAGGAGCATCTTGACCCTTCTTGGGACTTTGGCCAACATTTTATCACAGATGAAAGCCTGAAGTCAGAGCCTTCCTTCAGACTTTAAGTAAAGGTATTCACTTTTACATAAGTACTGCTACTTATTCTGTATGCCCAAAGGCTGAAACATAGAACCAGGGAACCAAATACTCTCTTAAATAATGAGGAAGCCTCTCAAAAACTATTAACATAGGAAGGATGGAAAGCAAACACCCTCTCACACACTATGTAGCTCAAAAGCCTAGTTCAGCTTTTTTAGTAACTGTCTCATTGTCTGAGAAACCAGAAGTTAACAAAATTCCTGGAAATATTAGAAATAGTCATCTCCCCTTTCTTTTCTGCCAGGCTACCTTGAACATCCTCCTACCCTGGTCACTGTGCTCTCCTTAAGAGAAAGCTAGAGGTTTTTCCTGAAGGGATTGCACACAGGTGACATCTGTCACAGCTCCTTCCAAAAGGAAGGATGCATGCAACCTGTTCCTCCACCCAAGAGGCCTCAGGATTCAAACCAGCTGAAGTTTCCTCTGGACAAGCCAAAGATAACATTCTGTTGGGATCTATGCTACACCACTGTCCCCATACATGGCCTCTCCCAGTGCATGGCAAGAGTGATATGGGAGAAGATGATGCAGTCATTCAAGCTCATCTTGTTCTGTGTCTTCTGTCCTGAAGTTTGTCCCTCTGCTCTCTGTCTACCAACATGATCTGGGCTTGGGGCTAGCACTGTGAAGCTATCTGTAAGCATAAACCAATCATTTGTGTGTTTCAGGCTAAAACACCCATGGATAACGTCAACTTTTCATTTGTGGGTCCCTGACACCCAAAATGTGAGATAGAGCACTGGGGATTTCCACCCACAGCGGACTGGCAGCTCGTCTGCTGTCACTAACAGTCTTCTTGGTGGAAAGCTTTTATGGAAAAGTATCTCTACATGTTATATGCAGTCTGCATTACTCTTCCAGCACACAACCAGCCAAATGTATCCTATAACCAATTAGTACACACTTGGATACAATACCAAAGTCTTTTGTCCTTTGAGTAAGTGAAATGCTGGGCGTGAAGATTCAGTGCTGAGAGGCAGAAAAGTTACAAGAGAGATATTCCCATATGTTGGAGAAATTTTCCATGGCAAAAACAGCTAAATGTCTCGCTCAGATAAGAGATAAATTGGAATAAACAGCTGTCAGTGTTAAATAAATATCCTGGATAATGTGCAGGACAGAAATAACTACAGCATCGTCAAACCCCTTTCTTCACTTTATTTAGCTGTTCTTGCATGTAGCTCCCAAGCTTTCCACTGCTCCAGTTGGTGAAGCATTTATTTTTGAGTCAGCTGCATTTCTTAAGACTGCAACAACGAAAGGCATTTCCTGAGAAACTGCAAGGATGAGCAGCAAGAAAGAACAACAGCTAACGACATATGGGACCCTTGTAGTGTTTTTTATCTTGCAAGTTCAGATTTTTGGTTTTGATGTTGATAATCGACCTACAACAGATGTCTGCTCAACACACACAATTTTACCTGGACCAAAAGGTGAGGAATTATCAGGTTGCTAATGCTGAGACCAGTACTGATAAAGGCTGATTTTTTATCAGTGGAGACTTGGAGGGCTTGTGGCATGGGCTGGGCATGAAAGATGTGAAATATTGCAGACTGTACAAACATCTGGTAAACTGTAACTGTAATGGGGGAAAATGGAGAAGCAAGGAGATTTAAATTTTCATTTCTTTAGTTTCAGGAACAGTGTTACATATTTTCATATAAGTTAGAGGTGTCTTTTTGCATCTTTCTTCAGCTGCACAAATCTTCTGTTATTTCTTGTGCTCACCACACAATGAAAACAGCTAACAGACACAAACTGAGGGACTTATTTAAAAGTAGGCACCTCTTGTGAACTGTTAATGGTCTGCTTTACATCTACAGATAGGGAGAGATACACAATATTTAAAATTATCAAACTGCCATTATTTTCAAATGTTTATTTGTAAATACATCTCTGCTACATTCATCAGACCTGATCCAGTAGCTCTTGTTGAATTAAACAGGACCTTTGCTGGAGATTTCAACAATAACTAAATCAACTCTGGCATGTACAGGTCTTTTATCTTCAAAACACTTTGCAAATATCTGAAACCAAATTTTCTGCATTAACTTACTTTTTCTGTAAGACAACTAATGTCAGTGGAATTGCCTGAAGGGTATCTTATTAGGCCCATGACATAGAAATCTATCTTGCAGTGACAGGTCTAAAATATATATTCCACACCATGGCTATTGCAGCTTCAAACTATTGCTTTCTTTTTAGTAATTCATTGTATTTTTCTATAGGCTACAGACTGAGAGGAAAAAAATGCAGCTGATTTAAATTTAAAGCAGAAAAAATATTATCAAGTCAAGAGCACTGCTATAGACTCATTTGTTTTTATGATGGATTATTCAAATGCATGTTGCTTAAAGGACCATTTTTAATCAGGAAATTAATTTCTTTATGATTACAATCCAAGCTTAAATTTTTGCTGCCACAGCATATATGCAGAGAGATGTAATGATCCCCAAGGGAGCTAGTGGGTGTTGGTTTAGTATCTAGTTAGTATCTAAGTAATGGCAGGCTGGAGAACAAAGTTTGACAGAATTGTGTTTAACAAGTCACAAGGCTAATGAGGGGAGTCTTGTGACAATGCAGAGTAGCTGGGACTCCAGCAGGCTTCTGTGGTCTACCTTGTATAGGGAGCATTTGAAGGGTAGATATTATTATTCTTTGTAAATGCAATACTGAGAAAGTCAGGATTTAGTCATTATCAGTCCTATTTTTCCTGGCTGACATCAAAACACAAGATGAGACCAGCAGTTTATTGGCACAGCTCAATCTACTACTTTAGATCACCATCCCCAAGATCCGTGACAAGAAGGAGTATTGAGTATAAATCACCTCCAAATTACTAGCTCATATGCACTGCAGGTCATCAAATACATTTTGGAGACTATGTGATATGATCCTTTAAGATTCATTTCAGTTCCTTCAAGAGCTGAGCTCATCCAGGACAGTTACAAGTAGCCCTTAATGGCACTGGTTGTTCAAGCTTCCAGTCATCAGGGCAATTAAAGACCAAGCAGGCTGAGTGTATGAACTGCCCTGTTACATCTCAGGCATCCCTTGTAGCCAAGCATGAAAAATGCTTACCTAATATGCCAGGAGAAAATCTGTCCTGTTGTCAGTTTTCCTTCATCCATCTAATGTCTATGACTCAGAGCACATGATCCCAAGCTTATGACCACAGCCATAGGCAGAACTTTGCTGTTTAAACTCTAAGCTTGATAACAGACAAGTCTCCGATTTTTGCTGCTGTAGTTTTTTTTTTTCCCTGTGCTACATCTATTGTGTCCCTTTGTCCATTGTTCTCTTTAAAATGGTTTTTGATTCATCCAGAACAAGTTTTACCTCCTCCCCTCCACGTGCTCAGCATCTCAGCCATGGTAAAACATGGTGGTGCTCCCAGGAGACAGAGGTGCTGATCTCACACACCACTTTGACCAGCTGTTTCCACCACCACAGGTTAGATTCCTGTTGTGGCAGCTTCCTCCTTCCATGAGAACATGGAAGTGTCTAATAGGCCAAAGCAACCTGAAGTGCAAGGAATTAAAAGGTATTCAATAGCTGTAAGACTTCCTACTCTGTCCCACCTCCCTATCCCAGTGCAAGGTGTAAATTGCCCTATAGGCTAGCTCCAATCTGTGTGCTCCAAGTGGGATGGACCCTGGTCCATCAGCAGAGAGAGATGCTGCTGTTTCCATCACACAGCACAGTGGAGAGGAGAGCACTGAGGGAGAAGTGGGGGGGATTTGGAGAGTTCAGAATTTATAACTCTTTATTGCCTGCACTATTGGAGGCTATATGACTCAATCCTCTAGGCATTCACAGCTGTTACAGGAGCAAACTCTCAACCTCTTCACATGCTCAGCCTGAAAATCACCTGTTCAAGAAAGGTTGTGAAGATAGGCCGCTTACACAATCCAAATGTAACTTGTCCAAGTTACTTTGTGCACACCATATTCTTCCCCTTCAAAAACATCTCTTTGTTATGCTCACACCTGAGAAGTCACAAGAGAAGTATGACATGAGCAGTGGGATGAAAAAAAAAAGGTGATTCCAGGCTGATTACCAGAAAAGTCTTCAAATCACTGCGACAGCCTCACCAACTCCATGAGGCAAAAGCAGAGGCCATTGTGTACAACAGTAAGAGCTAGAAAAAAAATACTCTGGAAGGCTGCAGTCTGCCAGGAAGAGAAGGGATGCAGTGGATGTCCTGTCAGGTTTGCAGTTGTGCTGCAAGGACAGCAGCGTGCCCGAGCTCCGTGCGTGGTGCAGCGAACCCCGCGGGTTCCAGCCCCACCTCTGGGGGCTCACACGGTGCCCACCAGGTGCTGATGTCCCCCCCAGCTGCTGCTTCCCCTCACTGGGGCAAGAAAATGAAACCTGAAGCCTGTTTGCAAAAAAATATACAAAGAAATTTTCCAAATGGGCACTCCAGAAAAGTGGAAAATTTTAAAGAAGAGAGAGGCAAAAGTTGGCACTCTTCTCCATTTCCTTTTCTAGGCAACATTCAGGTCTCTTCTCAAAAAGAGAGGATTATTTTCAATGAAAAGAGCCCACTGCAATGGCTGTCTTGTAAAAAGATTTGAGGTACACAGCCAGCTGGCTTATATGGCAGTAAAGAACAGAAATGCATGAGGCATTTTCTAGGATTCTTATTGAAATACCCTAAGAACACCCCTGCCCTTCTTTTCCACTGCCCCCCCACCAAAAACAGCACAAAACAAAACAAAACAAAAGTTAAAAAAAAAAAAAAGTAGATCTTTTCAGTGTTCATAACTAGTGATTTTTGATGTTTGACCCAAGATGTTAGGAACAATAGCTAGGCTGTTGTGGCACAGAAACTCTGAAAACTTACATCTTAAATCAGCTAACACAGATTCACAGCAGGGTAACTGGGGCAGTAATGACCATGCTTTGTACTTCATTGAATTCTTGAGTCCAAAGAGAACCAGGAAATGAAGCATAAATGAAACAATGAATTTTCCAGGGGAGCCAGGTTATTGGTCTAGCAAAAGTAGTCATGGGCCTATTCCTTACTTTCTACCCTTCCAAGCCTGCAAGCAAAGCAGGCTGGCTGTTGCTGCTGCTGCTGAGAAAGGGTCTGGGACTGTGGGGAGGCAGCATCCAACACAGTGAGAGCAAAGGCACCAGCTGTGGTGGCCCTGGCAGCATCAGGAGGGTCAGGCTCTGCCCCCCTGGACTCTGCCTTTGAAGGGTGTCCCAGTCTGTCCTTTCTTCCAGCCTGCTCTCCCCTGGAGACTGCAAGCTCTGATCTGCAAAGGAAGTTTTAAGTGGGCTGTTGACATAGATGAGACAGGAGTTGACCTGCTGTGAGTAAATCAATAAGCAACAACATGAGGGTAGAAACAAGCAGAGGCTGGAACTGCAGAAGCTGTTTTCACATGGATTCATGGGCTCTCAGCACTTCAGAAGACTGGCTCTAGACCTTGCTATCTGTCCCTGATCCCACTTCACTTTCTTTGAAATCCAGACACAAGAACTTTGAAAGTCTTGAATCAGATCCAGGTTGAGAAACCGGAATAAGATGAAATTTGAAGAGCACCGGGAGTTTCCCATAGCAGTTTAGATTTAAAACGTTTCTTTATCATTATTTCTCACAAATGATGCTTATAAACTCTGTGACATTGGCTGGTACCTCAAAATAGCATTTACTGTGGTCACCAGTATAGCTGTCCATCTCTCAGCTTTAATTGTGCTTACGCAGTTCCACTCCTGGAAAATCTCAAACCCTTTCAGAAACCAGATATGCTGCTATCCACGTTGCCTTCCAAAAATACAAACGCCTTACCACATCCTATAGCTGTTCAAATCTATAACTAAATTTCCCTCTTAGTGCCTCATTTTTGATCTGAAGAGTCCTTTAATTTCAACACATAATTCTATTTTTCATGGCTTCTAGAATACCTTGTTTTAGCACAGAGTAAATTTCTGGAAATTATCAGGCTGAGCTACAGAGCTCAGGGGACTTAAATACATAAATTCAAGAGATAGAGGGTCTGTATTTCTTACCAGTGGCAGTCTGATTCCTCACTGAAGCCACCATAATTCATGGGTCTCTGAGATCATGTCAGAATGGCAGCACAAGAGGCTGGGAAAATCAAATCATGCAGACCAAGTAAAAGGAGAATCAAGAATGATTGAAATTATTTCTGTGTTATTAAAGAAATAATGTATATTCCATTCAGGCACAAAGATCCCCACTTTCAAATAATACAAGTCAGCAGAGGTTCCCTGAGCCTACTGAAGGCTTGGGTATGCCCCGTGCAAGGCAATATGAGAGGAGGGTATTTCTAATGAAGTTCAATTTATAAGTAGAAAGGCAATCAGAAAATTCTTTTTTTTTCTTTAAGATTTTTATTTTACAAGGGAAGGGCTTGTATTGTCTAATTTGAACCTGGGTGAAGGAAGATAATCTGTG